TGTTGTAACAAAATCGTAGGGTTTTAATTATTTGTTTACAGAAACATAACGTAATTTTAGTTAAAAAATTGACAGCAACCAAAATGTACCCGCTAAAAATGTGTGATCGCTTTTTCAGTAACCAAACGACCAAGTTTCAGGACAATTTTGACAATTTACAGAAATTTCAGAGGAACCAAAATCTCGGTTCCCATCAAAAATAATTTCGGAATACAACTTTAATTCCACTGGATTCATCGTAGCCAAAATGTGCTCTGTAAAATAAATATTCCGATAGCCATTGTATGTTATGCTTTAATAATTGGTTAGAAAGTTAGTACAGGCTACATCATTACAGGATTTGGTTAGAAAAGCTTTATTATTTAATAATATTTATATCTTTTAAATGTCATGCATTTTTGTAAGAAACTGAAAACCGACAAGACATCCGTTGGTGTACGACAACGACGGCCATTAAATAAGAATAATTTCAGTTTCCCTGTACCCTATTCTCATAGAAATAATATTAGAGTATTATTGTTTTGAACGTTTAGTTATATTAGTTTAGTATCTAGTTCAATAGATTGTTGTTTTGTTTGTGATTGTAAGTTAGTTTTGTTGGTTAGAGAGATTTTGTGAATGGTTTAAGTTCTTTTTATTATGAAGTGCCAGTGAGATGAAAGTGTAAACTGTCTGGAAAAAACTTATGGACTTTGTGCAGCAACAAAAGAACACTTGATAGTTTGATAAAAAAAAATCTATGACAATATTCAATGGCTCTGCGGGTGTAGTCATAAAAATATAAAAATATTGTGTTTGTTATAAAAGAATATTTTGCATATTTAAGGCTATAGTTTTATTTAAAATGAGGTTTATAAACCTTATAAACAATTGAGGAGCATCCGTGCAAAACCGGCTATATCCACTTTAATAAAATGTTGGGAAAATGGCAAAAACTCTCGGTTTCCTGGCCTTTACAGGTAAAAGAAAAAGCAAACTTGAGTTTTGTTGGCTTTGTAGTACTTGATTTATAAGACATACTTTCGTTTTCAAAATTTCAAAAAATGTTTTGTATATAGCCGGTTTTGCTTAAAAACCGAATAAAATGTAAAAAAATCCTTTATTATTCAAAAATATTAACAAAATAAATTTAGTGCAAACATGAAAAAACTGAACAAATTTTAGTAGTAGTATCGACATATCCAAGCGACATGCTCATCATCATTATTATTTATTGGATATAGCCGGGTTTGCTATAAAAACATGGATTTGGCCGGTTTTGCTCCTATAGGAGCTTTATAAAGCTACCTTTTAAATGTGATTTTAACATGGATATAGTCGGATTTAAACAGAATTATCTTGGTTGTCGATAGAAATGAACCCAAAGATGCGAAATCAGAAAAAAAAAACAAAAACTGAATATAATGGATTTAGCCGGTTTTGCACGAATGCTCCTCAATTATAATATAATTATATTAAAGAACTGTCACAAGACGTCATTTTTTGCACAAAGACAATTTACAAAACGAGCAACGAATGGACGGTCGTCCATTATAAAATTCTCTCAACTCGAGTAAAAAAGAAAATGTCTTATGACATGAGTTACTATTTTTTCTATTTGTAGACAATACAAATCGCAAATGCGTATCGTACTGTGCTTATTATGCTTTATTTAATTGATTTTAAAATCGATTAAAATTTTTTTGTTGTAGGTATTTTATCCTTAAATTTAATTTAACGTTTCTTTCTTGTGTTACAACAAAGTGCAAGCCCGCACAAAATACATAAGATTGATATCGTAATTCAGAAAGTACATTCATTAAGTTACTTGAGAAAATGCACCAAGTACACAAAGGCCTTAGTAGCTTATATATTATAATAATGGTTATTTAGGTCATTGGGATGAGAATTGAGTCTTTTTGTGCAAAGATTAAAGTTTGAAGACTTCTCAGCCGAATTGCATACAATGTTTTGTCTTCAAGGCAGTGCCGGCTTTTCTTAGCGTGGCTGCTCGGGGCTCGACAAGTCCATAGCCCAAGTAACACATGTGACTCTTGGCTTTTACCTACATATTATATCAAAGCTTTATCACAAACTAAAAAGATGGAAGTTATCACGAAGGGTAATTGTTCTTAGAACCATATTACTTTAATAGAAAGCTTTATTAGACACAACAAAACCAAATTTTAAAACCATAACGGCCATTAGGCTTGTAAGTTTTAACTTTAAGTTTATTATGGGATGTCATTTATACCTATATATTTACTGACCATTAAGACCTATTTAGCTTTATGGCAGTTTATTGGTTTTAAGGGTTCTTAAAAAGTATGTTTTGTGGAAGCAGTTAAAACCAAATTACTGGGGGAAACTGTCCTAAGGCTATTTGCTTGTCCTGTAAGTACACGGAAAAAAAAGATTTCTAAATGTAAGAATACCTTTATTCTTAAGAAAATTCACTTGATTTAAGTATAATTTGCTTGGACTACAAATAACTTAATCTTGTTATAAGAATAAACCAATCCTTAAATTAAAAAGATTTTATTTCTTAACTTAAAATTAAGTACAGTTGAAATAAGATGATTGACATAATATTGTCAAGACTAAAACTAACGTTAAACTAAATAAAAATCTTTTTTAAAACAAGCACATCTTATTCTTACTTGTTAAATGTTAAGAAAGACTTTAGATGAAATAATCTTATTCTTATTTTAAGATTAACAATAGATTAGATTAAATTTTAGAAAATTTCCTCCAAGCCCATTCTATTCTTAAAGGGATAAAACTATACTGGATATAAATATACTTATATTTATTCTAACAATAGTTAATATTGGTACGACTGACCTATTCTTAAAAATATTCCCCACTCCCGAACGTGTCCGCTAACCCTGTTTGTGTAGGCGTTTTACACAGCGTCAGCCCAAAGAATTGCGTCAGCCAAAAATTATACCCCCTAAAGGAAGACTTACTAGTGGAAAACAACACTGAAAATTTTCTATTTTAGAATCAGTGGAAGCTTTAATTATATTTTGTCAGGTAAAATTTTCAAATTTGTTTTTTGCACATTTCACAAAATATTTTTATAAAGGTTCCCGACTATTGAACGCCAAATTGAAAAAGCTGCAAAAAGGAAAGTAAGCACAGAAATTTAACCTTATCTTATCGTGGAGGGAGACCAAACCAACCAAACTGTTAGGAACACTTATATTGTTATTGACAGAGTACAATTATTGCTTAACTTACATAAAAGATACCTTATATTTAATCCAAAAGTAAATATTGTAAATCCAAGAATTATAAAATTTGTATGAAAAAATACTTATTCTTAAATTAAGCATAGTTTATATTTTATTTGAGGGTGTTCTGTTTAAAAAAAAGTATTGCTTACATTTAAAACAATGTGATAGTTTTTCTTGATATAAGAATAAGTTTACCCTTGCAACTAACATTGAATTTATATCCAAATAAGTATAGGTCAGTTCTTGCATTCAACCCACTATATTCTTTAATTAAGTATTAATTTATATTACAAATAAAAATAAATCAATCCTTGAATGAAAATTAGCTATACTTGCGGAATGGTGAGATGAACATATACTTGGATCAAGATGATTAATCTTTAATATAGAATAGCTTTTTTTCCGCTAATACATTAATCTGCTTTAGTTTACTCCTGTGTGCTAGCTTCTCAAGAGCAGTTTGTCTTGATGGCAATACATTAAAAGGCATTTTAGCTTTAAAACCAAATTAGGACATCACGCGCCGCTCTTATAGGTAGTCGTATTCAGGTTAATCTAATTAGCACATGCACGATGATATTATTCGACAAGTGGGTTAAAGTGAAAAGCTTAAAGCTTAAAAAGTTTAATTAAAACACTATGAAATAAAGCGCGCTGGAGACCGAATAGGAAAATAAATTATAGGTTATAATTTTAACCTATATTCGTACGAGGTGCCGACACTACTTTCCTCCTAAACTCACTTTATTTCAAAAAAAGAAATGTTGCCCTAAATTAGAATAAACACTCTAGTGATTACCTTGTTAACTGACTATTGGTTTTATGATATACTTTTTCGGTTTTATTAAAATAAATAGGTTTTATTAATTCATAATGCAGGAGATATTGCTCTTAAAGGCGTATGACCACCATTTTTTAAATCATTCATATTTGTGTACTTAAAAATGCTTTGCTAAAATAATTCAAATATAGCTCATGTGTATTAAAATTATAAAGAAAAATATTATATTATTATTATTAATAATTTATTATATATATTATATGAATAGGTTTTTTTAATCATTTAAGCAAAGCTTTTATAACAACAAAACTAATTCTTGCAAGGTATGATAAATTGTTGCAAAAATAGCTTGTTGTGATGGCCCATTTGTTTTTAGGAAGTATTTTATTGACTGTCATCAAAAATGGTGGTAAAGGCATTAAAATATCACCCCAGGATTAATAAATATTGATTTTAAATATTACTATAAACTAAATACAAGCATTTTTAATTTAAAGTTTTACTTGGGTCTTCATAAAATATTATAGTATTTAATTGAGACATAATAGCTTTAACATTATTCTAAACCAAGGCAATATTGTTTATATTACGGTAAAAATGTTTAAAAAAAATACTGCTAACATGCTAACTAGCTTTATTGACGTCTTCGTCTAAGGACTCCATAAAGCTCACGTAACTACCATTTAGCTTTATGGATGTATCAGGAGGATTTATGAAAGCTGTGAAAACCTCATTAAAGCGGTTATAATAAATCGATGAAAAAATAGGCCTTAAAGGTAATAAAATGATTCTCCTTTTTGATTCTAAAAAAGTCTTAACCCTGCTGTAACAGAGCATTAATATCGGTTCTGTTACAGCATTAATAAAACCTAATGTGTTACTTAGAAAAGGCTTGGAAACTTTCCAGTGAAAAGTTTGGCCAAAAAAATATATTTGTTGATAAACGTAATATAATAATAATAAACATAATTATATCATAGATTATGTTTTTATTTTTTCAGTGTTAGATCGCGCCTATAGTTCACCGACAATCAACGAGCTGATGGCGAAAAATAACAATTCTACGACGGAATCGAACAACTTGATCCCCTTGAGGCAATTCCGCAACAGACTTCCCAAGTTTATCAGAAGCAACGTCAACAAAAACGGCACAGCAGCGAACAATAAACCGAAAGACTGCATTGTTCAGGTCAGTTTTTCATTAACTTATAGCAAATTCTTATCAAAATAGTTAATCATAAAGTTTTTAATAAATCTTTGATATAATAGCTTAATATAATAGATAAATAAAGAATGATTCGGTTTTGTGCTATTTATCATTTACAAACATAAAGGAAAAACATTGTACTGCAGCACGTGGTTTGTAGATAAATTTGCTGATTACATTGGTCAACAAAATATTTTATATAGTGAAGTTCTATAATATTCCATATTTATCTTTTTTATAGCTGAAATTGACAATATAAAGAAACTTTTGTTAATAATTATAAAAATAATAATAATCTTTATTCCAAAGTTTCTTATTAACAATAAAATTATTCCTAAAAATGGAATGACGTCACATATATATATATCACATTACAGATTGGTTTTTAAATTATCATTTATACAATAGGTATGGCTCCAAGTTGAAGCCTCCAACTCAACTAAAAAAAATTGTTTCTTTAAATACATCTAATCTATTTATTGACTTAAACCTATGTGGTAGGTTATTATCGATCTATAATCAGAGTTCTAGTTTCGTATTCACCATTAAGTATATTAAATTCATGTGAGCCCCAAAATATAATCAGTACCTTGCATTTGACTCAAAATTAATGTTTAAATATCTATGAACTACTCTTATTCCGTATTTAATTGAGTTCAGTTTACTACAGAGTTTGTTCATCTAGTCTAAAACTCTATGATATAAACTCCCAAAATCTTTGAGTCATTGGCTTATTTTAGTTGGCAATTATTTGTTAGGATAGTTTCTGGTATTTCCTGTCTAGATTGTATAGTCCTAAAAACTAAACTTTTATCATCATTAAGAATAAGTTTGTTTTCAGTGTACCAGGTCTTAGCTATTAAGAACAATCTCTCACATTTTTCGTTAAGTTAGCAGAAGTTTTTAGCATCCACAAGTAGGTTATTATCATCAGCATAGTTTGTACAAAATTCATTCTTTGCTTTTTTCAACCATAAACAGGATTACTATTATTAAAAATGATAATTTTTGATAATTATCCATTCTTAATTTTGTATAAAAAACTTTGTTCAACAACAACAAACTCGAGAGCAACATTTGGTTGGTTCTCAGAAAATGTTTTCATAAAACAAATTAAATCCTCTAAACCTTTTATTTTAAAACCTTTAGTTTAAATTTTTAAATTGTATATTAAATAGTTTTGTTTTATTTAAAATATGAGCCTTAATTTTATAATGGCTAATATTTCCATTGTAATTTATGATGTTCATTAACAAAATTGCTTTTTTTATAAACACGTTTTTGTGTGACTAATTGGGGCTCATTAAATCGTATTTTTACACATTTTTTGCTGGATCATGTTCTTTAAATTACAAAAATGAAATTTCTTTGTTTTAAAAAAAGGAATTTTTATATTTAAAAATCAAATAAAAACTTAAGGCGGGTTTATACAACAATTAATAATTTAGTGGGCAATTTATTTTATAACACAATTGTTAATTTAATGCATAATTTAATACATAATACATAACTTTAAAATCTGGTTTATACAATTCATTAAATTAGTATATATTTTATTTTTTCAAAGACAATATTGATAATTAAAAGTGACAAATAACACAAAATCCCTCATTAAAACTCATGTTTTGTAGGAACTTTGTAGTATTTTTAAGACACAAATACAAAACACAATAATTATTAATTATAACCATATAAAATGGAAAGAGAAAAATTGTTGGCACATGCGCTGTTTCATAATTCATAATTTATTTCATATAAGTTAAATTTTATGAACTTTCAAGGTTATTCAATAAACACTAAATTGTGAGTTACGGATTAAATCGTTGTATAAACTGTTTCTTAGCTGATAGTGTGATTTAACTTTTATGTTTATGCACTAAATTGTGAATTATGAAATAAATTAATAATATGAAGTTGTATAAACCCACCATTACTGAGCATAGTTTGACAGATTAAATTTATAGGTTTAGTGATATACGTCTAGATTATTTCTCGAATTAAAGGAAACTATTTGACAATTCATAAAATCTGACGTATGTGTCAAAATTTATAAATATTTTTTTAAAGAAAATTCCATTAATTTAAGGTATGTAATAAGTAATAATTGATATTTCGTAAACTATATTGTATATTGTGTCTCAAGGGCAGAAAACTAGCTTTAGAAGCTCGCAGCTATTAACTGCCTGAGCGAGCGAAGGGAAGCGAGGGCAGTTGATAGCTAAGGGCTGCTAATGCGTTTTCTGAATCTGTGACACACACCTGTTTTTCGCCTGGCATCAAACAAATTATTTTTTTAAATTTTATTTATATAAACGGAATTTTTTAAAAAAACTTCAGTAACAATTTACGAATTTATTTATTGTTGTAATTAATGTTAATTATGCCTTGAGCACAATTGTGGATAGTACCAGAATTTGAAGGCTTATTTCTACAGATGAAGTTAATGTTTCATTAGAATTATCTTTGATCTTTCCGATAGATAAGCAACTAATACATTTTCTGTTAAGTTTTTGGGTTTTTGATCCTTTTTCCAGTTTTTAAATAATTCATAGCACTTTTCGTACCGTTGCAACGCATTGTCTTAACTATGGTTTCGCGTAAAAATCGAACAAATTTTGGACATTTGTTTGCAAGTGATGCCAGAATTGAATATATTTTTTTAACCTTGTTTCTACATCTAAATGGTGCATTTTTTTCAAAAAAAATTTTTTATCCATTGACCACCGTGGGTTTTAGGCCTTAAGTCACTCTACTGTGTTAAAAATAGATAAATTTCGATATTTTGTAATAACATTTTTATTTAAAAACGTATCGATTTGGAATTAAGATAAAATGTAGACCTTATTAGTGGCAATAAATCCACTTATAATTTTTTTTAGATTTTACCATACAGGGGGCGCTGGGGACAATTTAATTTAAAATTTTACCATTATTTAAGGGTTAAAAAGTCGAAGAAGCAACGTTGTTTTATAATTTTGAGTATATCACGTTAAAGTACTGATAATTAACTATTATTTGATATATAAACTTTTATATGCAAATTATGTTTCTACGACATACGCCATTTTTAAGTTAGGCCTTCAAAGGGCATAATACTAACGTGTTTTACAAAGTATATATTCTTTTATCTAGTTTTATAAGATTATGTATTGTATATTACATATTATACATTATATATTACATATAATATATTATATATAACATACAATTCTTACATATTTATTTTAAAAAGTCGCCATAGATGGAGCTAAAATTACTTTTATTTATAAATTTTAAATTTTTTCAACTTTACTAATTTTGATCATAGTATGCATCGTAGACTTTTCTCTATGGTAACCTACAATTGTAGCATGAAATATAATTTGACAGTTCAGTTTATAAGTTGCAAATGACTTTCAATTTATTTTTTTTTAAATTAATAAACTAAATAATAATTATAGACAGTGTCAGCAAGTTAGACATAATAACCTACTTATAGCTACTTTAATTTTATTTTTTGCTGCACAACCAAGCTTCAATTTATTTTTTACTCGATAAGCAAGCTTTAATTTTCATTCCAAACTGAGGAAAGTAATATTTACCCAATAAATAAATTAGAATAAAGACTTTATTTTTTATGTTGCAATTGGCTATTTATTGTATATTTTTTATTAAGTTGGTTTTTGCTTTTTTGAAATTGGTTATTTTGTGTTTTTTTTATATTTATTATAATGCCATACAGGGTGTTTCTGAAGAAACGCAAACGATATAGATTTGATATTTTAATAGCATATACAATTTGATATAGACTATACAATTATTAATAGTTTTCAAGATATTATTATTTTTTTTTGTTAAAATTTTGCTAAATGCACGTTAATCAAAAATAGCATGTAATTTTTTTGTTATTAGGTTTGCTGACATGGGGTTAGAATTTATGGAATATTAAAACATTGTTTAAATAATTTTTTTAAAGTTTTTTAACAAATAGCTTAAGAAAAAACACTTGAAATTAGGCAAAGTTCAAACAATAATAACGTTTTTATTATAAATGTAAAACCCTGTATGTTAAAAAAAAAAATAAAAAATCTTTCGATTCGTATTATAATAACTGTTTCTCAAAGTTAAAATTTCAGAGACATTTAAAAATTTCTAATATTTTTAATACTATTTTGTATCAACAAACCTGTGAAATTATACATGTGGGTTAATGTGATAGTATTCATGGTTACCACTAAATCCATTGTTAAAAATTAATTAAAATATTTGATTGAAAAATTAGTAACTCGAGAAATATTGACTTTGGGTAGGTATAGGATATCGTATAGCCATTTTATTCAGAATTTTATGTAGAAATAAAAAATGTAAAAATGGATGAGGTTTACTGTTTACAATAACAAAGTTAAAGACATTTCCGGTAAAACAGGAAGTACTATTTTGTTCAAAATAATTTAGAAAAATAGACTTAAATATAGAGTCAAATAGATTTTTTTCCCGTTCCCTAGAAACTTATAATGGACCACGAATGTGGAACACCCTGTATATAAAATAATTACGTATATTAGTGGCACACTAAAGTCTAAATCGAATAATTTACGCTATTAAATTTTTAAACCGATGACTTTCGCGATTCCCCAGAAACTTCTAACGGATTACTTACGTGAAACACCCTGTATATTAAACTAATTGATGTGTTATGCTATACTTAATTATTAATAAAATATACAACAATATTAGTATAAAAATGACAAAATGTACCAAACTAAACATTTATGAATACTGCTACTGCTAATTAAAAACTGATCCTGGCCACAGAAACATCATTTGCATAAAAAAGTTAATATATCAAATAATAGTCAAATATCAATATTTTAACGTGTTATAAAACAATGTTGCTTCTTTGATTATTTACCCTTTAAAAATTGTAAAATTTTAAATTAAATTATTACCAGCGCCCCCTGTACGTTACAATCTAAACAAAAATTTTAAATGGAAGAATTGTC